GGAAGGAGAGAGAAGAGAGAGGGAATACAGGGAGCTATAGAAAGGGTGAAAGAAGGAAGAAAAGGAAAGAGTGAGAAAGAAGGGAACTGAGGAAGAAAAATGATAAAAGGAGTAAGAGAGAAGGAGACGAAAGGAGGGAGAAGAGAGAGAAAAAATGAATGAAATCAAATGAGGTTAAGAGGAAAGAGAAGAGGAGGGGAAGTAGGAGAGACGGAGGGGAGGCACAACGAGGCAAGAATGGATGAAAGGAAGAGAGAAAAAAGTAGAAAATGAGAAAAAAAGAAATGAAAGACAAAAAAGAAGGTAAGAACACATAAAGCTAGAATTAGACAAGATAATAATTTATTTATTTATTTATCTATTTATTTATTCATTTTATGAGGCGGTTTATATTATCCTATATTATTCTATGGACATTTCTTCGGTATTCTATGTATATTGGAAGAGAGGAGAGGAAATAATGGATAATAAAAAGGCGAAGAGGAATTTGAAGGAGAAAAAAAATAAAGAAAGCGTGGATGAGAAAAGAAGGAGGAATGACGAGGAATTGAGGAAAAAGAGGAATAAAAGAATAAAGAAAAAATGAAAAGAATAAAAAGAGAGAATGAAAACGAAGAGAGAGAGAGAGACAGACAGAAAAAGAATAAGAAAAATAAAAATAGAACGATGTAGCAGCAAATCCAAATAGAAGGCAAACGAAGGGAGGAAAGGGAGGAGAAAGGAAACGGAGGAAGAGAGAAGGAAGGAAGGAGGGGGAGAGGACGAGGGGGAGAACGAAGGGGGGGGGGAGGGGAGGGGGGTAACCACAGCACATCGTTGAGGAGTTCCCGGAATTTCCCCCCCCCTCCCCTCCTCTCCCTGCCTCCCACTCCCCTCCTCCCCCGACCCGCACCTTGATGACGTCACACCTACGTCACACACGCACGTGTTTGAAGGCCCGGAGTGGGAGGGCAATTCGGCGTCGCTTTTTCGCTCGCTTCCTTTCTCTTCTTTCTTTTTGGTGAATTAATTTTGCATAAAGTTGGGTCAATGAAAGGAGTAAGAGGAGGAAACATGGCGCGTATACAAAGACACACACAAACACTCATATGTATGTATGTATGTATGTATATATACATATATATATATATATATATATATATATATATATATATATATATATATATATATTATATATATATATATAATATATGCATACATATACATACATACACACACACACACACACACACATACATATATATATATATATATATATATATATATATATATATATAATATATATATATATATATATATATATATAGATATATATATATATATATATATATATATATATATATATATATTATATATATGTATATATATATATATATATATATATATATATATAATATATATATATATATATATATATAATATATATATATATATATATATTATATATATATATATGTATATATATATATAGTATATATATATATATATATATATATATATATATATATATATATATATACACATACATACACAACACACACGCACACACACACACACACATATATATATATGTATATACATATGTGCATATATATCATCATTATTATCATCAACACCATTATTGTTCTTATCATTATCAGCATTACTAACATTATTATTACTATCTTATGGGCAATAATGATGATAATGAGACTGGTACGATAATCATAAGGGTGTCGAAGATAACAGTAATAGTAATAATCATAAAACAATGATAAAGATAAGAAATAACACAAATTCCAATACCAATAAAAAACATATCTGTGATAACAACAATAAATTTTATAACAACACAGCAATAAAGCAAATAATGATAATGATAAGTTCGAAAGATTTGAAATAAACAACTGTAACAAAAATGATAAAAATAACACGAGATATTTGTGTTCAACCTTATCATATATTTTGATTTATCTGGTTTGAGTTTTCATAAATTACTTGTGGTTCTAAGATGTTTTTTTCTTGATTTTTTTTTTTTTTTTTTAATCTTCACTCGTTCTGCAGAAAGGTGTTCGAATGCGTGACAAAGTTCCGTGGATATCAAATGCATTTATTTGTTTATTGGTTTTTCCTTTGGCTCTTTTTTTTTCTATCTCTTTTTAACTCTCTTTCTTGTTGTCTGTCAAACTTTATGTATATTTGGATAGTCTTCGCGCTCTCTCTTTCTCTTTCTGTTTCTCTCCTTCTCTCTCTCTCTTTCTCTTTCTCCCCTCTCTTTTTCTATTTCTCTCTCTCTCTCTCTCTCTCTCTCTCTCTCTCTCTCCTCTCTCTCTCTCTCTCTCTCTCTTCTCTCTCTCTCTCTCTCTCTCTCTTCTCTCTTCTTCTTCTCCTTCCTCTCTCACTCTCTCTCTCTCTCTTTCTCTCTCTCTCCTCTCTCTCTCTCTCTCTCTCTCTCTCTCTCTCTCTCTCTCTCTCTCTCTCTCTCTCTCTCTCTCTCTCTCTCTCTCTCTCTCTCTCTCTCTCTCTCTCTCTCTCTCTCTCTCTCTCTCTCTCTCTCTCTGAAGGACTGTGATCGGACGTGTGATAATGGCATGAATATCAAATGCACTTATTTATTGAGTGACTTTTCTTTTCGCTCTCTTTTTTTTCTTTCTTTAGCTCTATTTTTGTCAGACTGTGTATATATTTGGATAGTCCCCCTCTTCCTATCTTTTCTCTCTCTCTCTCTCCTTTTTTCCTCCTTCTTTCTCTCACTGCCCGCTTACATCCTCAATCTCTCCGACTGCTTCTATTTTTCCTTTATCCATTTCTCATTCTTCTTCTTCTCTCCTTTAATTTCCTCTTTCTTCATCCTCTCTCTCTCTCTCTCTCCTCTTCCCTCATCTTTTCACTCTCTCTCACCTCTTTCCCTCTTTTGTTCTCGTCTATTTGTCTCCCTTCCTTCTTCCTTCTCCCTCTTTCGTCTTTCCCCCACTTTATCCACATCACAACGTTTCTTCTCCTCCCCCCCTCCTCTCAATCTCTCTCGCCTCTCCCCCTCTCCTTCTTCTCCCTTCCTGCCACTTTATCTCCTTTTACTCTCTCCGTCTCCCATCCTCCTTCTTCTTGTCTTTCTCCTCCCTCTGTCTCCCTTTTCCGGCTTCTTCTACTCCTTCCCTCTCTCTCTTCCCTCTTCTCCTCCTTCCATGTTCAGCTCTTTCTCCTCTTTTCATCTCCCTTCCTTCTTTTCCTTTCGTCTTCCCTCCTCTTTCCCCTTCTTCCACCTCCCTTATTCCTTCTCCCTCTCGTTCTCCTTTTCCTTCCTCTCTCTGCCTATTTTCCTCGTTCTCCTCCCTCCTCTCCTCTCGCTTACCCTCCTCCATCCCTCTCTCTCTCCTCCATCTCCTCCTCTTCCCTTCATCTCCTCCTCATCCCCTCTCCCTTCATCCCTCTTCCTCTCTTCCATCCTTTCATTCCTCTCTCCTTCCTCCATCTCCTCCTCCTCTCTCTCGTTCTCTCCTTCCTCTCCTCCTCTCTCTCTCCTCTCGTTCTCCTCCTCTCTCTCTCGTTCTCCTCCCTCCTCTCCTCCTCATCCTCCATCTCTCCTCCTCCTCCTCCTCCCTCTCCTTCCTCCTTCCTCCCTCCATCTACTCTCCTCCTCCTTCTCCTCCCTTCCTCCTCCTCCCTCCTCTCTCCCTCCCTCTTTCTCCCCTCCTCCCTCTCCCTCCTCTCTCTTGTTCTCCTCCTCCTCCCTCCATCTCCTCCTCCCTCTCTCCTCCTCTCCCCCCTCCCTCCTCTCCTCCTCCCTCCTCCTCCTCCTTCCCCTCCATCTCCTCTCCCTCCTCCTCCTCTCCTCCTCCCTCCCTCCTCCTCCTCCTCCTTCCTCATCTCCTTCTCCTCCCTCCTCCCTCCTTCCTCCCTTCCTCCCTCCATCTCCTCTCCTCCCTCCCTTCCTCCATCTCCTCCCTCCTTCTCCGATCCTCCCCCATCTCCTCCTCCTCCCTCCATCTCCTCCCTCCCTCCCTCCCTCCTCCCTCCTCTCCATCCTCCTCCCTCTCCTCTCCTCCTCTCCTCCCTCCTCCCTCCATCTCCTCCCTCCCTCCCGCTTCCTCTGTGGCCAACCGCACCTTCGCATATTTCTTGGCCAGCGATGAGCGGCGTCTTGCGAGGGACAGGATGGGCGTCGTCTTGTACCTAGCGATTAGCGAATTAACGATACTGAAGAGAGCATTCAGCGCTAATCGCTCACTTTGGCCTCTTTCCTCTGCTCCTTGGTTTTCCTTTTTTTTGGTTTATTTGATATTTTTCTTATTTTGCTCTTATGTAGGTTTTTTCATTGTTCGTTTCCTTATCAGTTTTCTTTTTAATTCTCTGTCTGTCTGTCTGTCTGTCTGTCTGTCTATCTCTCTCTCTCTCTGACCCTCTCTCCCCCCCCCTCTCTCTCTTTTCTCTTCCTCTTTCTCTCCTTCTCTCTGACTCTCTCTCTCCTCCCTACCTCCCTCCATCCCCCCTCTCTCTCTCCTTTTTTTTCGCAATGTTATGAAACCTTGGAGTAAAAATGCATCAGTTGAAAGGTCCTTGTCCGCTTATTTCTAAACGTAAATATTATGGAACTTTCGATCGCTCTCCTGCCCAAACACCATACTTCTCTCCGATTCCCTTCAAACTTCGGGCTAGAGTCACCGTGTCGTCTACCTGTCTACGTGCATCCCCCCCCCCCCATCGTCCGCCACGAGTCCCTGTCCCGTAGAGATGCGAAGGCGCACGTAGTTTCCAGGTAAGAGCGCCTGGACTAAGGACTATCGATCCCGAGTTAGCATCCAGGACAGCACTACCAGGGAGAGCTAATCCGAGGGCAATCATTCTCCGAACGAAACCCGAGTCTTTCGTCAATAGCCGAACGGGGACGGTTGCCTCATCCGGGGACGCATAGAAAACGGAGGCGTGCGTAGAAGTGCGAGGGGGGACTCGCGCAGGCTTGATAGGGGATTTCCTCCTCTCTCTCTCCCCCCGCCCTCCTTCCTTTAGTTGCTGCATGTTCCCGCAGTTGGACGGAGAGGTGCCTTACCCCCACAGCGTGTTCCTGCGCGGAGCTTGGACAGAATTTTCCCACGCTACAGGCGGTTTCTCTCCCTTCCGGTGTCCGCTGTCAGGAGCCTTGACATAGGAATAACA